TCAGTGCTGGGCGGACCAGGATCCGAGTAACATTGCTTCACATTTTATACCGGTACGGATTTCGCAGCTTCCCGGGCTCATAAACGCCCTTATATGGGGACGGTTTTTCATGCGGCGGGCCCGTTTGAAGGCAAAAAGAGCTGGAATCTCGTCCCAAGGTATCTAGGATTGTGGCAAACATGATCGTGCTGGGCGGTCCAGGATCCGAGTAACATTGCTTCACATTTTATACCGGTACGGATTTCGCAGCCTCGCGGGCTCACAAACGCCCTTATATGGGGACGATTTTTCATGCGGCGGGCCCGTTTGAAGGCAAAAAGAGCTGGAATCTCGTCCCAAGGTATCTAGGATTGTGGCAAACATGATCGTGCTGGGCGGTCCAGGATCCGAGTAACATTGCTTCACATTTTATACCGGTACGGATTTCGCAGCCTTGCGGGCTCACAAACGCCCTTATATGGGGACGATTTTTCATGCGGCGGGCCCGTTTGAAGGCAAAAAGAGCTGGAATCTCGTCCCAAGGTATCTAGGATTGTGGCAAACACGATCGTGCTGGGCGGTCCAGGATCCGAGTAACATTGCTTCACATTTTATACCGGTACGGATTTCGCAGCCTCGCGGGCTCAGAAACGCCCATATATGGGGACGATTTTTCATGCGGCGGGCCCGTTTGAAGGCAAAAAAAGCCGGAATCTCGTCCCAAGGTATCTACGATTGTGGCAAACACAATCATGCTGGGCGGTCCAGGATCCGAGTAACATTGCTTCACATTTTATACCGGTACGGATTTCGCAGCCTCGCGGGCTCACAAACGCCCTTATATGGGGACGATTTTCATGCGGCGGGCCCGTTTGAAGGCAAAAAGAGCTGGAATCTCGTCCCAAGGTATCTAGGATTGTGGCAAACATGATCGTGCTGGGCGGTCCAGGATCCGAGTAACATTGCTTCACATTTTATACCGGTACGGATTTCGCAGCCTCGCGGGCTCACAAACGCCCTTATATGGGGACGATTTTTCATGCGGCGGGCCCGTTTGAAGGCAAAAAGAGCTGGAATCTCGTCCCAAGGTATCTCGGATTGTGGCAAACATGATCGTTCTGGGCGGTCCAGGATCCGAGTAACATTGCTTCACATTTTATACCGGTACGGATTTCGCAGCCCCGCGGGCTCACAAACGCCCTTATATGGGGACGATTTTTCATGCGGCGGGCCCGTTTGAAGGCAAAAAGAGCTGGAATCTCGTCCCAAGGTATCTAGGATTGTGGCAAACATGATCGTGCTGGGCGGTCCAGGATCCGAGTAACATTGCTTCACATTTTATACCGGTACGGATTTCGCAGCCTCGCGGGCTCACAAACGCCCTTATATGGGGACGATTTTTCATGCCGCGGGCCCGTTTGAAGGCAAAAAGAGCTGGAATCTCGTCCCAAGGTATCTCGGATTGTGGCAAACATGATCGTGCTGGGCGGTCCAGGATCCGAGTAACATTGCTTCACATTTTATACCGGTACGGATTTCGCAGCTTCCCGGGCTCACAAACGCCCTTATATGGGGACAGTTTTTCATGTGGCGGGCCCGTTTGAAGGCAAAAAGAGCTGGAATCTCGTCCCAAGGTATCCAGGATTGTCAAACACGATCATGCTGGGCGGACCAGGATCCGAGTAACATTGCTTCACATTTTATACCGGTACGGATTTCGCAGCTTCCCGGGCTCATAAACGCCCTTATATGGGGACGGTTTTTCATGCGGCGGGCCCGTTTGAAGGCAAAAAGAGCTGGAATCTCGTCCCAAGGTATCTAGGATTGTGGCAAACATGATCGTGCTGGGCGGTCCAGGATCCGAGTAACATTGCTTCACATTTTATACCGGTACGGATTTCGCAGCCTCGCGGGCTCACAAACGCCCTTATATGGGGACGATTTTTCATGCGGCGGGCCCGTTTGAAGGCAAAAAGAGCTGGAATCTCGTCCCAAGGTATCTAGGATTGTGGCAAACATGATCGTGCTGGGCGGTCCAGGATCCGAGTAACATTGCTTCACATTTTATACCGGTACGGATTTCGCAGCCTCGCGGGCTCACAAACGCCCTTATATGGGGACGATTTTTCATGCGGCGGGCCCGTTTGAAGGCAAAAAGAGCTGGAATCTCGTCCCAAGGTATCTCGGATTGTGGCAAACATGATCGTGCTGGGCGGTCCAGGATCCGAGTAACATTGTTTCACATTTTATACCGGTACGGATTTCGCAGCCCCGCGGGCTCACAAACGCCCTTATATGGGGACGATTTTTCATGCGGCGGGCCCGTTTGAAGGCAAAAAGAGCTGGAATCTCGTCCCAAGGTATCTAGGATTGTGGCAAACATGATCGTGCTGGGCGGTCCAGGATCCGAGTAACATTGCTTCACATTTTATACCGGTACGGATTTCGCAGCCTCGCGGGCTCACAAACGCCCTTATATGGGGACGATTTTTCATGCGGCGGGCCCGTTTGAAGGCAAAAAGAGCTGGAATCTCGTCCCAAGGTATCTCGGATTGTGGCAAACATGATCGTGCTGGGCGGTCCAGGATCCGAGTAACACTGCTTCACATTTTATACCGGTACGGATTTCGCAGCTTCCCGGGCTCACAAACGCCCTTATATGGGGACAGTTTTTCATGTGGCGGGCCCGTTTGAAGGCAAAAAGAGCTGGAATCTCGTCCCAAGGTATCCAGGATTGTCAAACACGATCATGCTGGGCGGACCAGGATCCGAGTAACATTGCTTCACATTTTATACCGGTACGGATTTCGCAGCTTCCCGGGCTCATAAACGCCCTTATATGGGGACGGTTTTTCATGCGGCGGGCCCGTTTGAAGGCAAAAAGAGCTGGAATCTCGTCCCAAGGTATCTAGGATTGTGGCAAACATGATCGTGCTGGGCGGTCCAGGATCCGAGTAACATTGCTTCACATTTTATACCGGTACGGATTTCGCAGCCTCGCGGGCTCACAAACGCCCTTATATGGGGACGATTTTTCATGCGGCGGGCCCGTTTGAAGGCAAAAAGAGCTGGAATCTCGTCCCAAGGTATCTAGGATTGTGGCAAACATGATCGTGCTGGGCGGTCCAGGATCCGAGTAACATTGCTTCACATTTTATACCGGTACGGATTTCGCAGCCTCGCGGGCTCACAAACGCCCTTATATGGGGACGATTTTTCATGCGGCGGGCCCGTTTGAAGGCAAAAAGAGCTGGAATCTCGTCCCAAGGTATCTCGGATTGTGGCAAACATGATCGTGCTGGGCGGTCCAGGATCCGAGTAACATTGTTTCACATTTTATACCGGTACAGATTTCGCAGCCCCGCGGGCTCACAAACGCCCTTATATGGGGACGATTTTTCATGCGGCGGGCCCGTTTGAAGGCAAAAAGAGCTGGAATCTCGTCCCAAGGTATCTAGGATTGTGGCAAACATGATCGTGCTGGGCGGTCCAGGATCCGAGTAACATTGCTTCACATTTTATACCGGTACGGATTTCGTAGCCTCGCGGGCTCACAAACGCCCTTATATGGGGACGATTTTTCATGCGGCGGGCCCGTTTGAAGGCAAAAAGAGCTGGAATCTCGTCCCAAGGTATCTCGGATTGTGGCAAACATGATCGTGCTGGGCGGTCCAGGATCCGAGTAACACTGCTTCACATTTTATACCGGTACGGATTTCGCAGCTTCCCGGGCTCACAAACGCCCTTATATGGGGACAGTTTTTCATGTGGCGGGCCCGTTTGAAGGCAAAAAGAGCTGGAATCTCGTCCCAAGGTATCCAGGATTGTCAAACACGATCATGCTGGGCGGACCAGGATCCGAGTAACATTGCTTCACATTTTATACCGGTACGGATTTCGCAGCTTCCCGGGCTCATAAACGCCCTTATATGGGGACGGTTTTTCATGCGGCGGGCCCGTTTGAAGGCAAAAAGAGCTGGAATCTCGTCCCAAGGTATCTAGGATTGTGGCAAACATGATCGTGCTGGGCGGTCCAGGATCCGAGTAACATTGCTTCACATTTTATACCGGTACGGATTTCGCAGCCTCGCGGGCTCACAAACGCCCTTATATGGGGACGATTTTTCATGCGGCGGGCCCGTTTGAAGGCAAAAAGAGCTGGAATCTCGTCCCAAGGTATCTAGGATTGTGGCAAACATGATCGTGCTGGGCGGTCCAGGATCCGAGTAACATTGCTTCACATTTTATACCGGTACGGATTTCGCAGCCTTGCGGGCTCACAAACGCCCTTATATGGGGACGATTTTTCATGCGGCGGGCCCGTTTGAAGGCAAAAAGAGCTGGAATCTCGTCCCAAGGTATCTAGGATTGTGGCAAACACGATCGTGCTGGGCGGTCCAGGATCCGAGTAACATTGCTTCACATTTTATACCGGTACGGATTTCGCAGCCTCGCGGGCTCAGAAACGCCCATATATGGGGACGATTTTTCATGCGGCGGGCCCGTTTGAAGGCAAAAAAAGCCGGAATCTCGTCCCAAGGTATCTACGATTGTGGCAAACACAATCATGCTGGGCGGTCCAGGATCCGAGTAACATTGCTTCACATTTTATACCGGTACGGATTTCGCAGCTTCCCGGGCTCACAAACGCCCTTATATGGGGACGGTTTTTCATGCGGCGGGCCCGTTTGAAGGCAAAAAGAGCTGGAATCTCGTCCCAAGGTATCTAGGATTGTGGCAAACATGATCGTGCTGGGCGGTCCAGGATCCGAGTAACATTGCTTCACATTTTATACCGGTACGGATTTCGCAGCCTCGCGGGCTCACAAACGCCCTTATATGGGGACGATTTTTCATGCGGCGGGCCCGTTTGAAGCCAAAAAGAGCCGGAATCTCGTCCCAAGGTATCTACGATTGTGGCAAACACAATCATGCTGGGCGGTCCAGGATCCGAGTAACATTGCTTCACATTTTATACCGGTACGGATTTCGCAGCTTCCCGGGCTCACAAACGCCCTTATATGGGGACGGTTTTTCATGCGGCGGGCCCGTTTGGAGGCAAAAAGAGCTGGAATCTCGTCCCAAGGTATCTAGAATTGTGGCAAACACGATCGTGCTGGGCGGTCCAGGATCCGAGTAACATTACTTCACATTTAACACATTTGACTTCCATCACCCGCCCCATTCTCCCGCTTTCCATCACCTCGCCCCATTCTCCCGCTTTCCATCACCCCGCCCCATTCTTCTGCTTTCCATCACCCCGCCCCATTCTCCCGCTTTCCATCACCCTGCCCCATTCACCCGCTTTCCATCACCCGCCCCATTCTCCCGCTTTCCATCATCCCGCCCCATTCTCCCGCTTTCCATCACCCCGCCCCATTCTCCCGCTTTTCATCACCCCGCCCCATTCTCCCGCTTTCCAACACCCCAGCCCATTCTCTCGCTTTCCATCACCCTGCCCCCTTCTTCCTCCTTCCATCACCCGCCCCATTCTCCCGCTTTCCATCACCCTGCCCCATTCTCCCGCTTTCCATCACCCCGCTCCATTCTCCCGCTTTCCATCACCCCGCCCCATTCTCCCGCTTCCCATAACCCCACCCCATTCTCCCGCTTTCCATCACCCCGCCACATTTTCCCACTTTCCATCATCCCGCCCCCTTCTCTCTCCTTCCATCACCCCGCCCCATTCTCCCTCCTTCCATCACCCCGCCCCATTCTCCCGCTTTCCATCAGCCCGCCCCATTCTCCCGCTTTCCATCACCCCGCCCCTTTCTCCCGCTTTCCATCTCCCCGCCCCATTCTCCCGCTTTCCATCACACCGCCCCATTCTCCCGCGTTCCATCACCCCGCCCCATTCTTCCGCTTCCCATCATCCCGCCCCATTCCCCCGCTTTCCATCACCCCTCCCCATTCTCCCTCCTTCTATCACCCCGCCCCATTCTCCCACTTTCCATCACCCGACCCATTCTCCCGCTTTCCATCACCTCGCCCCATTCTCCCGCTTTCCATCACCCCGCCCCATTCTTCTGCTTTCCATCACCCCGCCCCATTCTCCCGCTTTCCATCACCCTGCCCCATTCACCCGCTTTCCATCACCCGCCCCATTCTCCCGCTTTCCATCACCCCGCCCCATTCTCCCGCTTTCCATCACCCCGCCCCATTCTCCCGCTTTTCATCACCCCGCCCCATTCTCCCGCTTTCCAACACCCCAGCCCATTCTCTCTCGCTTTCCATCACCCCGCCCCCTTCTTCCTCCTTCCATCACCCCGCCCCATTCTCCCTCCTTCCTTCACCCCGCCCCATTCTCCCGCTTTCCATCACCCTGCCCCATTCTCCCGCTTTCCATCACCCCGCCCCATTCTCCCGCTTTTCCATCACCCTGCCCCATTCTCCCTCCTTCCATCACCCCGCCCCATTCTCCCGCTTTCCATCACCCCGCCCCATTCTCCCGCTTTCCATCACCCCACCCCATTCTCCCGCTTCCCATCATCCCGCCCCATTCTCGCGCTTTCCATCACCCCGCCCCATTCTCCCTCCTTCCATCACCCCGCCCCATTCTCCCGCTTTCCATCACCCCGCCCCATTCTCCCGCTTTCCATCACCCCGCCCCCTTCTCCCTCCTTCCATCACCCCGCCCCATTCTCCCTCCTTCCATCACCCCGCCCCATTCTCCCGCTTTCCATCAGCCCGCCCCATTCTCCCGCTTTCCATCACCCCGCCCCTTTCTCCCGCTTTCCATCTCCCTGCCCCATTCTCCCGCTTTCCATCACCCCACCCCATTCTCCCGGTTTCCATCACCCCGCCCCATTCTCCCGCTTCCCATCATCCTGCCCCATTCCCCCGCTTTCCATCACCCCTCCCCATTCTCCCTCCTTCCATCACCCCGCCCCATTCTCCCGCTTTCCATCACCCCGCCCCATTCTCCCTCCTTCCATCACCCCGCCCCATTCTCCCTCCTTCATCACCCCGCCCCATTCTCCCGCTTTCCATCACCCCGCCCCATTCTCCCGCTTCCCATAACCCCACCGCATTCACCCGCTTTCCATCACCCCGCCCCATTCTCCCGCTTCCCAAAACCCCACCCCATTCTCCCGCTTTCCATCACCCCGCCCCCTTCTCTCTCCTTCCATCACCCCGCCCCATTCTCCCTCCTTCCATCACCCCGCCCCATTCTCCCGCTTTCCAACAGCCCGCCCCATTCACCCGCTTTCCATCACCCCTCCCCTTTCTCCCGCTTTCCATCACCCCGCCCCATTCTTCCGCTTCCCATCATCCCGCCCCATTCCCCCGCTTTCCATCACCCCTCCCCATTCTCCCTCCTTCTATCACCCCGCCCCATTCTCTCGCTTTCCATCACCTCGCCTCATTCTCCCGCTTTCCATCACCCCGACCCATTCTCCCGCTTTCCATCACCCCGCCCCATTCTCCCTCCTTCCATCACCCCGCCCCATTCTCCCGCTTTCCATCACCCCGCCCCATTCTCCCTCCTTCCATCACCCCGCCCCATTCTCCCTCATTCCATCACCTCGCTCCATTCTCCCGCTTTCCATCACCCCGCCCCATTCTCCCGCTTCCCATAACCCCACCCCATTCTTCCGCTTTCCATCACCCTGCCACATTTTCCCACTTTCCATCACCCCACCCCCTTCTCTCTCCTTCCATCACCCCGCCCCATTCTCCCTCCTTCCATCACCCCGCCCCATTCTCCCGCTTTCCATCAGCCCGCCCCATTTTCCCGCTTTCCATCACCCCGCCCCTTTCTCCCGCTTTCCATCTCCCCGCCCCATTCTCCCGCTTTCCATCACATCGCCCCATTCTCCCGCTTTCCATCACCCCGCCCCATTCTTCCGCTTCCCATCATCCCGCCCCATTCCCCCACTTTCCATCACCCCTCCCCATTCTCCCTCCTTCCATCACCCCGCCCCATTCTCCCGCTTTCCATCACCCGCCCCATTCTCCCGCTTTCCATCACCTCGCCCCATTCTCCCGCTTTCCATCACCCCGCCCCATTCTTCTGCTTTCCATCACCCCGACCCATTCTCCCGCTTTCCATCACCCTGCCTCATTCACCCGCTTTCCATCACCCGCCCCATTCTCCCGCTTTCCATCACCCCGCCTTATTCTCTTGCTTTCCATCACCCCGCCCCATTCTCCTGCTTTTCATCACCCCGCCCCATTCTCCCGCTTTCCAACACCCCGGCCCATTCTCTCGCTTTCCATCACCCCGCCCCCTTCTTCCTCCTTCCATCACCCCGCCCCATTCTCCCTCCTTCCTTCACCCTGCCCCATTCTCCCTCCTTCCATCACCCCGCCCCATTCTCCCGCTTTCCATCACCCCGCGCCATTCTTCCGCTTTCCATCACCCCGCCCCCTTCTCCCTCCTTCCATCACCCCGCCCAATTCTCCCTCCTTCCATCACCCCGCCCCATTCTCCCGCTTTCCATCAGCCCGCCCCATTCTCCCGCTTTCCATCACCCCGCCCCTTTCTCCCGCTTTCCATCTCCCTGCCCCATTCTCCCGCTTTCCATCACCCCGCCCCATTCTCCCGCTTTCCATCACCCCGCCCCATTCTCTGGCTTCCCATCATCCCGCCCCATTCCCCCGCTTTCCATCACCCCTCCCCATTCTCCCTCCTTCCATCACCCCGCCCCATTCTCCCGCTTTCCATTACACGCCCCATTCTCCCGCTTTCCATCACCTCGCCCCATCTCCCGCTTTCCATCACCCCGCCCTATTATTCTGCTTTCCATAACCCCGCCCCATTCTCCTGCTTTCCATCACCCCGCCCCATTCACCCGCTTTCCATCACCCGCCCCATTCTCCCGCTTTCCATCACCCCGCCCCATTCTCCCACTTTCCATCACCCCGCCCCATTCTCCCGCTTTTCATCACCCCGCCCCATTCTCCCGCTTTCCAACACCCCGCCCCATTCTCCCGCTTTCCATCACCCCGCCCCATTCTCCCGCTTTCCATCACACCGCTCCATTCTCCTGCTTTCCATCACTCCGCCCCATTCTCCCGCTTTCCATCACCCCGCCCCATTCTCCCGCTTTCCATCACCCCTCCCCATTCTCCCTCCTTCCATCACCCCGCCTCATTCTCCCTCCTTCCATCACCCCGCCCCATTCTCCCGCTTTCCATCACCCCGCCCCATTCTCCCGCTTTCCATCACCCAGCCCCATTCTCCCACTTTCCATCACCCCGTCCCATTTTCCCGCTTTCTATCACCCTGCCCCATTCTCACGCTTTCCATCACCCTGCCCCAATCTCCCGCTTTCCATCACCCCGCCCCATTCTCCCTCCTTCCATCACCCCGCCCCGTTCTCCTGCTTTCCACCACCCCGCTCCATTCTCCCGCTTTCCATAACCCCGCCCCATTCTCCCTCCTTCCATCACCCGCCCCGTTCTCCCTCCTTCCATCACCCCGCCCCTTTCTCCCTCCTTCCATCACCCCGCCCAATTCTCCCGCTTTCCATCAGCCCACCCCATTCTCCCGCTTTCCATCACCCCGCCCCATTCTCCCGCTTTCCATCACCCCGCCCCATTCTCCCGCTTTCCATCACCCCGCCCCATTCTCCCGCTTTCCATCACCCCGCCCCATTCTCCCGCTTTCCATCACCCCGCCCCATTCTCCCGCTTTCCATCACCCCGCCCCATTCTCCCTCCTTCCATCACCCCGCCTCATTCTACCTCCTTCCATCACCCCGCCCCTTGCTCCCGCTTTCCATCACCCCGCCCCATTCTCCCGATTTTCATCACCCCGCCCTATTCTCCCACTTTCCATCACCCCGCCCCATTCTCCCGCTTTCCATCACCCCGCCCCATTCTCCCTCTTTCCATCATCCCGCCCCATTCTCCCGCTTTCCATCAGCCCACCCCATTCACCCGCTTTCCATCACACCGCCCCATTCTCCCGCTTTCCATCACCCCGCCCCATTCTCCCATCACCCCGCCCCATTCTCCCGCTTTCCATCACCACGCCCCATACTCCCACTTTCCATCACCCCGCCCCATTCTCCCGCTTTCCATCACTCCGCCCCATTCTCCCGCTTTCCATCACCCCGCCCCTTTCTCCCGCTTTCCATCACCCCGCCCCATTCTTCTCCTTCCATCACCCCGCCTCATTCTACCTCCTTCCATCACCCCGCCCCATTCTCCCGCTTTCCATCACCCCGCCCCATTCTCCCGCTTTCCATCACCCCGCCCCATTCTCCCGCTTTCCATCACCACGCCCCATTCTCCCGCTTTCCATCACACCGCCCCATTCTCCCTCCTTCGATCACCCTGCCCCATTCTCCCGCTTTCCGTCACCCCGCCCCATTCTCCCGCTTTCCATAACCCCGCCCCATTCTCCCTCTTTCCATCACCCTGCCACATTCTCCCACTTTCCATCACCCCGCCCCATTCTCCCTCCTTCCATCACCCGGCCCCATTCTCCCTCCTTCCATCACCCCGCCCCATTCTCCCTCCTTCCATCACCCCGCCCCATTCTCCCTCCTTCCATCACCCCGCCCCATTCTCCCACTTTCCATCACCCCGCCCCATTCTCCCACTTTCCATCAGCCCTCCCCATTCTCCCGCTTTCCATCACCCCGCCCCATTCTCTCGCTTTTCATCACCCCACCCCATTCTCCCGCTTTCCATCACCCCGCCCCCTTCTTCCTCCTTCCATCACCCCGCCCCATTCTCCCTCCTTCCATCACCCCGCCCCATTCTCCCACTTTCTATCAGCCCGCCCCATTCTCCCGCTTTCCATCACCCCGCCCCTTTCTCCCTCTTTCCATCTCCCCGCCCCATTCTCCCGCTTTCCATCACCCCGCCCCATTCTCCCGCTTCCCATCATCCCGCCCCATTCCCCCGCTTTCCATCACCCCGCCCCATTCTCCCGCTTCCCATCATCCCGCCCCATTCCCCCGCTTTCCATCACCCCTTCCCATTCTCCCTCCTTCCATCACCCCGCCCCATTCTCCCGCTTTCTATCACCCGCCCCATTCTCCCGCTTTCCATCACCCCGCCCCATTCTCCCGCTTTCCATCACCCCACCCCATTCTCCCGCTTTCCATCACCCCGCCCCATTCTCCCACTTTCCATCACCCCGCCCCATTCTCCCTCCTTCCATCACCCCGCCTCATTCTACCTCCTTCCATCACCCCGCCCCATGCTCCCGCTTTCCATCACCCCGCCCCATTCTCCCGCTTTTCATCACCCCGCCCCATTCTCCCGCTTTCCATCACCCCGCCCCATTCTCCCTCTTTCCATCACCCCGCTCCATTCTCCCGCTTTCCATCACCACGCCCCATTCTCCCTCCTTCCATCACCCCGCCCCATTCTCCCGCTTTCCATCACCCCGCCCCACTCTCCCTCCTTCCATCACCCCGCCTCATTCTACCTCCTTCCATCACCCCGCCCCTTGCTCCCGCTTTCCATCACCCCGCCCCATTCTCCCGATTTTCATCACCCCGCCCTATTCTCCCACTTTCCATCACCCCGCCCCATTCTCCCGCTTTCCATCACCCCGCCCCATTCTCCCTCTTTCCATCATCCCGCCCCATTCTCCCGCTTTCCATCAGCCCACCCCATTCACCCGCTTTCCATCACACCGCCCCATTCTCCCGCTTTCCATCACCCCGCCCCATTCTCCCATCACCCCGCCCCATTCTCCCGCTTTCCATCACCACGCCCCATTCTCCCACTTTCCATCACCCCGCCCCATTCTCCCGCTTTCCATCACTCCGCCCCATTCTCCCGCTTTCCATCACCCCGCCCCTTTCTCCCGCTTTCCATCACCCCACCCCATTCTTCTCCTTCCATCACCCCGCCTCATTCTACCTCCTTCCATCACCCCGCCCCATGCTCCCGCTTTCCATCACCTTGCCCCATTCTCCCGCTTTCCATCACCCCGCCCCATTCTCCCGCTTTCCATCACCCCGCCCCATTCTCCCGCTTTCCATCACCCCGCTCCATTCTCCCGCTTTCCATCACCACGCCCCATTCTCCCTCCTTCCATCACCCCGCCCCATTCTCCCGCTTTCCATCACCCCGCCCCATTCTCCCTCCTTCCATCACCCCGCCTCATTCTACCTCCTTCCATCACCCCGCCCCTTGCTCCCGCTTTCCATCACCCCGCCCCATTCTCCCGATTTTCATCACCCCGCCCTATTCTCCCACTTTCCATCACCCCGCCCCATTCTCCCGCTTTCCATCACCCCGCCCCATTCTCCCTCTTTCCATCATCCCGCCCCATTCTCCCGCTTTCCATCAGCCCACCCCATTCACCCGCTTTCCATCAAACCGCCCCATTCTCCCGCTTTCCATCACCCCGCCCCATTCTCCTGCTTTCCATCACCCCGCCCCATTCTCCCTCCTTCCATCACCCCGACCCATTCTCCCTCCTTTGATCACCCCGCCCCATTCTCCCGCTTTCCATCAGCCCTCCCCATTCTCCCGCTTTCCATCACCCCGCCCCATTCTCTCGCTTTTCATCACCCCACCCCATTCTCCCGCTTTCCATCACCCCGCCCCCTTCTCCCTCCTTCCATCACCCCGCCCCATTCTCCCTCCTTCCATCACCCCGCCCCATTCTCCCACTTTCTATCAGCCCGCCCCATTCTCCCGCTTTCCATCACCCCGCCCCTTTCTCCCGCTTTCCATCTCCCTGCCCCATTCTCCCGCTTTCCATCACCCCGCCCCATTCTCCCGCTTTCCATCACCCCGCCCCATTCTCCCGCTTCCCATCATCCCGCCCCATTCGCCCGCTTTCCATCACCCCGCCCCATTCTCCCTCCTTCCATCACCCCGCCCCATTCTCCCTCCTTCCATCACCGTGCCCCATTCTCCCGCTTTACATCAGCCCGCCCCATTCTCCCGCTTTCCATCACCCCGCCCCATTCTCCCGCTTTCCATCACCCCGCCCCATTCTCCTGCTTTCCATCACCTCGCCTTATTTTCCCGCTTTTTATCACCCCGCCCCATTCTCCCGCTTTCTATCACCCGTCCCCATTCTCCCTCCTTCCATCACCCCGCCCCATTCTCCCGCTTTCCATCACCCCGCCCCATTCTCCCGCTTTCCATCACCTCGCCCCATTTTCCCGATTTTTATCACCCCGCCCCATTCTCCCGCTTTCCATCACCCCGCCTGATTCTCCCTCCTTCCATCACCCCACACCATTCTCCCGCTTTCCATCACCCCGCCCCATTCTCCTGCTTTCCCCGCCCCATTCTCCTGCTTTCCATCACCCCTCCCCATTCTCCCGCTTTCCATCACCCCACCCCATTCTCCCGCTTTCCATCACCCCGCCCCATTCTCCCTCATTCCATGACCTCGCCCCATTCACCCTCCTTCCATCACCCTGCCCAATCCTCCCGCTTTCCATCACCCCGCCCCATTCTCCCGCTATCCATCACCCCGCCTCATTCTCCCTCCTTCCATCACCACGCCCGATTCTCCCTCCTTCCATCACCCCGCCCCATTCTCCCTCCTTCCATCACCCCGCCCCATTCTCCCTCCTTCCATCACCGTGCCCCATTCTCCCGCTTTACATCAGCCCGCCCCATTCTCCCGCTTTCCATCACCCCGCCCCATTCTCCCGCTTTCCATCACCCCGCCCCATTCTCCCGATTTCCATCACCCCGCCCCATTCACCCGCTTTCCATCACCCCGCCCCATTCTCCCGCTTTCCATCACCCCGCCCCATTCTCCCGCTTTCCATCACCCCGCCCCATTCTCCCGCTTTCCATCACCCTGCCCCATTCTCCCGCTTTCCATCACCCCGCCTCATTCTCCCGCTTCCCATCATCCCGCCCCATTCCCCCGCTTTCCATCACCTCTCTCTCCTTCCATCACCCCGCCCCATTCTCCCGCTTTCTATCACCCGTCCCCATTCTCCCTCCTTCCATCACCCCGCCCCATTCTCCCGCTTTCCATCGCCCCGCCCCATTCTCCCGCTTTCCATCACCTCGCCCCATTCTCCCGCTTTTTATCACCCCGCCCCATTCTCCCGCTTTCCATCACCCCGCCCGATTCTCCCTCCTTCCATCACCCCACACCATTCTCCCGCTTTCCATCACCCCGCCCCATTCTCCTGCTTTCCATCACCCCTCCCCATTCTCCCGCTTTCCATCACCCCGCCCCATTCTCCCGCTTTCCATCACCCCGCCCCATTCTCCCGCTTTCCATCACCCCGCCCCATTCTCCCGCTTTCCCTCACCCCGCCCCATTCTCCAGCTTTCCATCACCCCGCCCTATTCTCCCGCTTCCCATCAACCCGCCCCATTCTCCCGCTTTCTATCACCCGTCCCCATTCTTCCTCCTTCCATCACCCCGCCCAATTCTCCTGCTTTCCATCACCCCGCCCCATTCTCCCGCTTTCCATCACCTTGCCCCATTCTCCCACTTTTTATCACCCCGCCCCATTCTCCCGCTTTCCATCGCCCCGCCCGATTCTCCCTCCTTCCATCACCCCACACCATTCTCCCGCATTCTATCACCCCGCCCCATTCTCCTGCTTTCCATGACCCCGCCCCATTCTCTTGCTTACTATCAACCCGCCCCATTCTCCCGCTTTCTATCATCCGTCCCCATTCTCCCTCCTTCCATCACCCCGCCCCATTCTCCCGCTTTCCATCACCCCGCCCCATTCTCCCCCTTTCCATCACCTCGCCCCATTTTCCCGCTTTTTATCACCCCACCCCATTCTCCCGCTTTCCATCACCCCGCCCCATTCTCCTGCTTTCCATCACCCCTCCCCATTCTCCCGCTTTCCATCACCCCGCCCCATACTCCCGCTTTCCATCACCCCGCCCCATTCTCCCGCTTTCCATCACTTCGCCCCATTCTCCCGCTTTCCCTCACCCCGCCCCATTCTCCAGCTTTCCATCACCGCGCCCCATTCTCCCGCTTCCCATCAACCCGCCCCATTCTCCCGCTTTCTATCACCCGTCCCCATTCTATCTCCTTCCATCACCCCGCCCCATTCTCCCGCTTTCCATCACCCCGCCCCATTCTCCCGCTTTCCATCACCTCGCCCCATTCTCCCGCTTTTTATCACCCGCCCCATTCTCCCGCTTTCCATCGCCCCGCCCCATTCTCCCTCTTTCCATCACCCCGCCCCATTCTCCCTCTTTCCATTACCCCGCCCCATTCTCCTGCTTTCCATCACCCCGCCCCATTCTCCCTCTTTCCATCACCCCGCCCCATTCTCCCGCTTTCTATCACCCCACCCCATTCTCCCGCTTTCCGTCACCCCGCCCCATTCTCCCTCTTTCCATCACCCCGCCCCATTCTCCCGCCTTTCATCACCCCACCCCATTCTCCCGCTTTCCATCACCCCGCCCAATTCTCCCTCTTTCCATCACCCCGCCCCATTCCCGCCTTCCATCACCCCGCCCCATTCTCCCTCTTTCCATCACACCGCCCCATTCTCACGCTTTCCATCACCCCGCCCCATTTTCCCTCTTTCCATCACAACGCCCCATTCTCCCGCGTTCCATCACCCCGCCCCATTCTCCCTCTATCCATCACCCCGCCCAATTCTCCCACTTTCCATCACCCCGTCCCATTCTCCCGTTTTCCATCACCCCGCCCCATTCTCTCGCTTTCCATCACCCCGCCTTATTCTCCCGCTTTCCATCACCCCGCCCCATCCTAACGATTTCCATCACCCCGCCCCATTCTCCCGCTTTCCATCACCCCGCCCCATTCTCCCACTTTCCATCACCCCGCCCCATTCTCCCACTTTCCATCACCCCGCACCATTCTCCCTCTTTCCATCACCCCGCCCCATTCTCCCTCTTTCCATCACCCCGCCCCATTCTCCCGCTTTCCATCACTCCGCGCCATTTTCCCTCTTTCCATCACCCCGCCCCATTCTCCCGCTTTCCATCACCCTGCCCCATTCTCCCGCTTTCCATCACCCCGCTCCATTGTCCCGCTTTCCATCACCCCGCCCAATTCTCCCTCTTTCCATCACCCCTCCCCATTCTCCCTCTTTCCATCACCCCGCCCCATTCTCCCGCTTTCCATCACCCCGCCCCATTCTCCCTCTTTCCATCACCCCGCCCCATTTTCCCTCTTTCCATTACCCCGCCCCATTCTCCTGCTTTCCATCACCCCGCCCCATTCTCCCTCTTTCCATCACCCCGCCCCATTCTCCCGCTTTCTATCACCCCACCCCATTCTCCCGCTTTCCATCACCCCGTCCCGTTCTCCCTCTTTCCATCACCCCGCCCCATTCTCCCGCCTTTCATCACCCCGCCCCATTCTCCCGCATTCCATCACCCCGCCCCATTCTCCCGCCTTCCATCACCCTGCCCCATTCTCCCTCTTTCCATCACCCCGCCCCATTCTCACGCTTTCCATCACCCCGCCCCATTCTCCCTCTTTCCATCACCCGCCGCATTCTCCCGCTTTCCATCACCCCGCCCCATTCTCCCTCTATCCATCACCCCTCCAAATTCTCCCACTTTCCATCACCCCGTCCCATTCTCCCGTTTTCCATCACCCCGCCCCATTCTCTCCCTTTCCATCACCCCGCCTTATTCTCCCACTTTCCATCACCCCGCCCCATTCTCCCGATTTCCATCACCCCGCCCCATTCTCTCGCTTTCCATCACCTCGCCCCATTCTCCCGCTTTCCATCACCCCGCCCCATTCTCCCGCTTTCCAACACCTCGCCCCATTCTCCCGCTTTCCATCACCCCGCCCCATTCTCACTCTTTCCATCACCCCGCCCCATTCTCCCTCTTTTCATCACCCCGCCCCATTCTCCCGCTTTCCATCACCCCGCCCCATTCTCCCTCTTTCCATAACCCCGCCCCATTCTCCCGCTTTCCATCACCCTGCCCCATTCTCCCTCTTTCCATCACCCCGCCCCATTCTCCCTCTTTCCATCACCCCGCCCCATTCTCCCGCTTTCCATCACCCCGCCCCATTCTCCCTCTTTCCATAACCCCGCCCCATTCTCCCGCTTTCCATCACCCCGCCCCATTCTCCCTCTTCCCATCACCCCGCCCCGTTCTCCCGCTTTCCATCGCCCCGCCCCATTCTCCCGCTTTCCATCACCCCGCCCCATTCTCCCGCTTTCCATCACCCCGCCCCATTCTCCCTCTTTCCATCACCCCGCCCCATTCTCCCGCTTTCCATCACCCCGCCCCATTCTACCGCTTTCCATCATCCCGCTCCATTGTCCCGCTTTCCATCACCCCGCCCAATTCTCCCTCTTTCCATCACCCCTCCCCATTCTCCCTTTTTCCATAACCCCGCCCCATTCTCCCGCTTTCCATCACCCCGCCCCATTCTACCGCTTTCCATCACCCCGCCCCATTCTCCCTCTTTCCATCACCCCGCCCCATTCTCCCGCTTTCCATCACCCCGCCCCATTCTCCCTCTATCCATCACCCCGCCCAATTCTCCCACTTTCCATCACCCCGTCCCATTCTCCCGTTTTCCATCACCCCGCCTTATTCTCCCGCTTTCCATCACCCTGCCCCATTCTCCCGATTTCCATCACCCCGCCCCATTCTCCCGCTTTCCATCACCTCGCCCCATTCTCCCGCTTTCCATCACCCCGCCCCATTCTCCCGCTTTCCAACACCTCGCCCCATTCTCCCGCTTTCCATCACCCCGCCCCATTCTCACTCTTTCCATCACCCCGCCCCATTCTCCCTCTTTCCATCACCCCGCCCCATTCTCCCGCTTTCCATCACCCCGCCCCATTCTCCCTCTTTCCATAACCTCGTCCCATTCTCCCGCTTTCCATCACCCCGCCCCATTCTCCCTCTTTCTATCACCCCGCCCCATTCTCCCTCTTTCCATCACCCCGCCCCATTCTCCCGCTTTCCATCACCCCGCCCCATTCTCCCTCTTTCCATAACCCCGCCCCATTCTCCCGCTTTCCATCACCCTGCCCCATTCCCCCTCTTTCCATCACCCCGCCCCGTTCTCCCGCTTTCCATCACCCCGCCCCATTCTCCCGCTTTCCATCACCCCGCCCCGCTTTCCATCACCCCGCCCCATTCTCCCTCTTTCCATCACCCCGCCCCATTCTCCCGCTTTCCATCACCCCGCCCCATTCTACCTCTTTCCATCATCCCGCTCCATTGTCCTGCTTTCCATCACCCCGCCCAATTCTCCCTCTTTCCATCACCCCTCCCCATTCTCCCTTTTTCCATAACCCCGCCCCATTCTCCCGCTTTCCATCACCCCGCCCCATTTTCCCGCTTTCCATCACCCCGCCCCATTCTCCCTCTTTCCATCACCCCTCCCCATTCTCCCTCTTTCCTTCACCCCGCCCCATTCTCCCGCTTTCCATCACCCCGCCCCATTCTCCCTCTTTCCATAACCCCGCCCCATTCACCCGCTTTCCATCACCTCGCCCCATTCTCCCTCTTTCCATCATCCCGCCCCGCTCTCCCGCTTTCCATCACCCCGCCCCATTCTCCCGCTTTCTACACCCCGCCCCATTCTCCTGCTTTCCATCACCCCGCCCCATTCTCCCTCTTTCCATCACCCCGCCCCATTCTCCCGCTTTCCATCACCCCGCCCCATTCTCCCGCTTTCCATCACCCCGCCCCATTCTCCTGCTTTCCATCACCCCGTCCCATTATCCCTCTTTACATCACCCCGCCCCATTCTCCCGCTTTCCATCACCCCGCCCCATTCTTCCTCTTTCCATCTCCTCGCCCCATTCTCCCTCTTTCCATCACCCCGCCCCATTCTCCCTCTTTCCATCACCCCGCCCCATTCTCCCTCTTTCCATCACCGAGCCCCGTTCTCCCTCTTTCCATCACCCCGCCCCATTCTCCCTCTTTCCATCACCCCGCCCCATTCTCCCGATTTCCATCACCCCGCCCCATTCTCCCTCTTTCCATCACCGCGCCCCATTCTCCCTCTTTCCATCACCCCGACCCATTCTCCCGCTTTCCATCACCCCGCCCCATTCTCCCTCTTTCCATCACCCCGCCCCATTCTCCCGCTTTCCATCACCCCGCCCCATTCTCCCTCTTTCCATCACCCCGCCCCGTTCTCTCGCTTTCCATCACCCCGCCTTATTCTCCCGCTTTCCATCACCCTGCCCCATTCTCCCGATTTCGATCACCCCGCCCCATTCTCCCGCTTTCCATCACCTCGCCCCATTCTCCCGCTTTCCATCACCCCGCCCCATTCTCCCGCTTTCCAACACCTCGCCCCATTCTCCCGCTTTCCATCACCCCGCCCCATTCTCACTCTTTCCATCACCCCGCCCCATTCTCCCTCTTTCCATCACCCTGCCCCATTCTCCCGCTTTCCATCACCCCGCCCCATTCTCCCTCTTTCCATAACCTCGCCCCATTCTCCCGCTTTCCATCACCCCGCCCCATTCTCCCGCTTTCCATCACCCCGCCCCATTCTCCTGCTTTCCATCACCCCGCCCCATTCTCCCTCTTTCCATCACCCCGCCCCATTCTCCCGCTTTCCATCACCCCGCCCCATTCTCCCGCTTTCCATCACCCCGCCCCATTCTCCCGCTTTCCATCACCCCGTCCCATTATCCCTCTTTCCATCACCTCGCCCCATTCTCCCACTTTCCATCACCCCGCCCCATTCTTCCTCTTTCCATCTCCCCGCCCCATTCTCCCTCTTTCCATCACCCCGCCCCATTCTCCCTCTTTCCATCACCCCGCCCCATTCTCCCTCTTTCCATCACCCCGCCCCGTTCTCCCTCTTTCCATCACCCCGCCCCATTCTCCCTCTTTCCATCACCCCGCCCCATTCTCCCGATTTCCGTCACCCCGCCCCATTCTCCCTCTTTCCATCACCCCGCCCCATTCTCCCTCTTTCCATCACCCCGACCCATTCTCCCGCTTTCCATCACCCCGCCCCATTCTCCCTCTTTCCATCACCCCGCCCCATTCTCCTGCCTTCCATCACCCCGCCCCATTCTCCCGCTTTCCATCACCCCACCCCATTCTACCGCTTTCCATCACCCTGTCCCATTATCCCGCTTTCCATCACCCCGCCCCATTCTTCCTCTTTTCATCTCCCCGCCCCATTCTCCCTCTTTCCATCACCCCGCCCCATTCTCCCTCTTTCCATCACCCCGCCCCGTTCTCCCTCTTTCCATCACCCCGCCCCATTCTCCCGATTTCCGTCACCCCGCCCCATTCTCCCTCTTTCCATAACCCCGCCCCATTCTCCCGATTTCCATCACCCCGCCCCATTCTCACGCTTTCCATCACCCCGCCCCATTCTCCCTCTTTCCATCACCCGCCCCATTCTCCCGCTTTCCATCACCCCGCCCCATTCTCCCTCTATCCATCACCCCGCCCAATTCTCCCACTTTCCATCACCCTGTCCCATTCTCCCGTTTTCCATCACCCCGCCCCATTCTCTTGCTTTCCATCACCCCGCCTTATTCTCCCGCTTTCCATCACCCCGCCCCATTCTCCCGATTTCCATCACCCCGCCCCATTCTCCCGCTTTCCATCACCTCGCCCCATTCTCCCGCTTTCCATCACCCCGCCCCATTCTCCCGCTTTCGAATACCTCGCCCCATTCTCCCGCTTTCCATCACCCCGCCCCATTCTCACTCTTTCCATCACCCCGCCCCATTCTCCCTCTTTCCATCACCCCGCCCCATTCTCCCGCTTTCCATCACCCCGCCCCATTCTCCCTCTTTCCATAACCCCGCCCCATTCTCCCGCTTTCCATCACCCCGCCCCATTCTCCCTCTTTCCATCACCCCGCCCCATTCTCCCTCTTTCCATAACCCCGCCCCATTCTCCCGCTTTCCATCACCCCGCCCCATTCTCCCTCTTTCCATCACCCCGCCCCGTTCTCCCGCTTTCCATCACCCTGCCCCATTCTCCCGCTTTCCATCACCCCGCCCCATTCTCCCGCTTTCCATCACCCCGCCCCATTCTCCCTCTTTCCATCACCCCGCCCCATTCTCCCGCTTTCCATCACCCCGCCCCATTCTACCGCATTCCATCATCCCGCTCCATTGTCCCGCTTTCCATCACCCCGCCCAATTCTCCCTCTTTCCATCACCCCTCCGCATTCTCCCTTTTTCCATAACCCCGCCCCATTCTCCCGCTTTCCATCACCCTGCCCCATTCTCCCGCTTTCCATCACCCCGCCCCATTCTCCCTCTTTCCATCACCCCGCCCCATTCTCCCTCTTTCCATCACCCCGCCCCATTCTCCCGCTTTCCATCATCCTGCCCCATTCTCCCTCTTTCCATAACCCTGCCCCATTCTCCCGCTTTCCATCACCCCGCCCCATTCTCCCTCTTTCCATCACCCCGCCCCGTTCTCCCGCTTTCCATCACCCCGCCCCATTCTCCCTCTTTCCATCACCCCGCCCCGTTCTCCCGCTTTCCATCACCCCGCCCCATTCTCCTGCTTTCCATCACCCCGCCCCATTCTCCTGCTTTCCATCATCCCGCCCCATTCTCCCGCTTTCCATCACCCCGCCCCATTCTCCCTCTTTCCATCACCCCGCCCCGTTCTCCCGCTTTCCATCACCCCGCCCCATTCTCCCGCTTTCCATCACCCCGCCCCATTCTCCTGCTTTCCATCACCCCGCCCCATTCTCCCGCTTTCCATCACCCCGCCCCATTCTCCCGCTTTCCATCACCCCGCCCCATTCTCCCGCTTTCCATCACCTCGGCCCATTCTCCTGCTTTCCATCACCCCGTCCCATTCTTCCTCTTTCCATCACCCCGCCCCATTCTCCCGCTTTCCATCACCCCGCCCCATTCTTCCTCTTTCCATCTCCCCGCCCCATTCTCCCTCTTTCCATCACCCCGCCCCATTCTCCCTCTTTCCATCACCCCGCCCCATTCTCCCTCTTTCCATCACCCCGCCCCATTCTCCCTCTTTCCATCACCCCGCCCCATTCTCCCGCTTTCCATCATCCTGCCCCATTCTCCCTCTTTCCATAACCCTGCCCCATTCTCCCGCTTTCCATCACCCCGCCCCATTCTCCCTCTTTCCATCACCCCGCCCCGTTCTCCCGCTTTCCATCACCCCGCCCCATTCTCCCTCTTTCCATCACCCCGCCCCGTTCTCCCGCTTTCCATCACCCCGCCCCATTCTCCTGCTTTCCATCACCCCGCCCCATTCTCCTGCTTTCCATCATCCCGCCCCATTCTCCCGCTTTCCATCACCCCGCCCCATTCTCCCTCTTTCCATCACCCCGCCCCGTTCTCCCGCTTTCCATCACCCCGCCCCATTCTCCCGCTTTCCATCACCCCGCCCCATTCTCCTGCTTTCCATCACCCCGCCCCATTCTCCCGCTTTCCATCACCCCGCCCCATTCTCCCGCTTTCCATCACCCCGCCCCATTCTCCCGCTTTCCATCACCTCGGCCCATTCTCCTGCTTTCCATCACCCCGTCCCATTCTTCCTCTTTCCATCACCCCGCCCCATTCTCCCGCTTTCCATCACCCCGCCCCATTCTTCCTCTTTCCATCTCCCCGCCCCATTCTCCCTCTTTCCATCACCCCGCCCCATTCTCCCTCTTTCCATCACCCCGCCCCATTCTCCCTCTTTCCATCACCCCGCCCCATTCTCCCGATTTCCGTCACCCCGCCCCATTCTTCCTCTTTCCATCACCCCGCCCCATTCTTCCTCTTTCCATCTCCCCGCCCCATTCTCCCTCTTTCCATCACCCCGCCCCATTCTCTCTCTTTCCATCACCCCGTCCCATTCTCCCTCTTTCCATCACCCCGCCCCATTCTCCCGATTTCCGTCACCCCGCCCCATTCTCCCTCTTTCCATCACCCCACCCCATTCTCCCGATTTCCGTCATCCTGCCCCATTCTCCCTCTTTCCATCACCCCGCCCCATTCTCCCTCTTTCCATCACCCCGACACATTCTCCCGCTTTCCATCACCCCGCCCCATTCTCCCGCTTTCCATCACCCCGCCCCATTCTTCCTCTTTCCATCTCCCCGCCCCATTCTCCCTCTTTCCGTCACCCCGCCCCATTCTCCCTCTTTCCATCACCCCGCCCCATTCTCCCTCTTTCCATCACCCCGCCCCATTCTCCAGATTTCCGTCACCCCGCCCCATTCTCCCTCTTTCCATCACCCCACCCCATTCTCCCTCTTTCCATCACCCCGACCCATTCTCCCGCTTTCCATCACCCCGCCCCATTCTCCCTCTTTCCATCACCCCGCCCCAATCTCCCGCCTTCCATCACCCCGCCCCATTCTCCCTTTTTCCATCACCCCGCCCCATTCTCACGCTTTCCATCACCCCGCCCCATTCTCCCTCTTTCCATCACCCCGCCCCATTCTCCCGCTTTCCATCACCCCGCCCCATACTCCCTCTATCCATCATCCCGCTCCATTGTCCCACTTTCCATCACCCCGCCCAATTCTCCCTCTTTCCATCACCCCTCCCCATTCTCCCTTTTTCCATAACCCCGCCCCATTCTCCTGCTTTCCATCACCCCGCCCCATTCTACCGCTTTCCATCACCCCGCCCCATTCTCCCTCTTTCCATCACCCCGCCCCATTCTCCCGCTTTCCATCACCCCGCCCCATTCTCCCTCTATCCATCACCCCGCCCAATTCTCCCACTTTCCATCACCCCGTCCCATTCTCCCGTTTTCCATCACCCCGCCCCATTCTCTCGCTTTCCATCACCCCGCCTTATTCTCCCGCTTTCCATCACCCCGCCCCATTCTCCCGATTTCCATCACCCCGCCCCATTCTCCCGCTTTCCATCACCCCGCCCCATTCTCCCTCTTTCCATAACCCCGCCCCATTCTCCCGCTTTCCATCACCCCACCCCATTCTCCCTCTTTCCATCACCCCGCCCCGTTCTCCCGCTTTCCATCACCCCGCCCCATTCTCCCGCTTTCCATCACCCCGCCCCGCTTTCCATCACCCCGCCCCATTCTCCCTCTTTCCATCACCCCGCCCCATTCTCCCGCTTTCCATCACCCCGCCCCATTCTCCCTCTTTCCATAACCCCGCCCCATTCTCCCGCTTTCCATCACCCCACCCCATTCTCCCTCTTTCCATCACCCCGCCCCGTTCTCCCGCTTTCCATCACCCCGCCCCATTCTCCCGCTTTCCATCACCCCGCCCCGCTTTCCATCACCCCGCCCCATTCTCCCTCTTTCCATCACCCCGCCCCATTCTCCCGCTTTCCATCACCCCGCCCCATTCTACCGCTTTCCATCATCCCGCTTCATTGTCCCGCTTTCCATCACCCCTCCCCATTCTCCCTTTTTCCATAACCCCGCCCCATTCTCCCGCTTTCCATCACCCCGCCCCATTTTCCCGCTTTCCATCACCCCGCCCCATTCTCCCTCTTTCCATCACCCCGCCCCATTCTCCCTCTTTCCTTCACCCCGCCCCATTCTCCCGCTTTCCATCACCCCGCCCCATTCTCCCTCTTTCCATAACCCCGCCCCATTCACCCGCTTTCCATCACCCCGCCCCATTCTCCCTCTTTCCATCACCCCGCCCCGTTCTCCCGCTTTCCATCACCCCGCCCCATTCTCCCGCTTTCCATCACCCCGCCCCATTCTCCTGCTTTCCATCACCCCGCCCCATTCTCCCTCTTTCCATCACCCCCCCCCATTCTCCCGCTTTCCATCACCCCGCCCCATTCTCCCGCTTTCCATCACCCCGCCCCATTCTCCCGCTTTCCATCACCCCGTCCCATTATCCCTCTTTCCATCATCCCGCCCCATTCTCCCGCTTTCCATCACCCCGCCCCATTCTTCCTCTTTCCATCTCCCCGCCCCATTCTCCCTCTTTCCATCACCCCGCCCCATTCTCCCTCTTTCCATCACCCCGCCCCATTCTCCCTCTTTCCATCACCCCGCCCCGTTCTCCCTCTTTCCATCACCCCGCCCCATTCTCCCTCTTTCCATCACCCCGCCCCATTCTCCCGATTTCCGTCACCCCGCCCCATTCTCCCTCTTTCCATCACCCCGCCCCATTCTCCCTCTTTCCATCACCCCGACCCATTCTCCCGCTTTCCATCACCCCGCCCCATTCTCCCTCTTTCCATCACCCCGCCCCATTCTCCTGCCTTCCATCACCCCGCCCCATTCTCCCGCTTTCCATCACCCCGCCCCATTCTACCGCTTTCCATCACCCCGTCCCATTATCCCGCTTTCCATCACCCCGCCCCATTTTCCCGCTTTCCATCACCCCGCCCCATTCTCCCTCTTTCCATCACCCCGCCCCATTCTCCCTCTTTCCTTCACCCCGCCCCATTCTCCCGCTTTCCATCACCCCGCCCCATTCTCCCTCTTTCCATAACCCCGCCCCATTCACCCGCTTTCCATCACCCCGCCCCATTCTCCCTCTTTCCATCACCCCGCCCCGTTCTCCCGCTTTCCATCACCCCGCCCCATTCTCCCGCTTTCCATCACCCCGCCCCATTCTCCTGCTTTCCATCACCCCGCCCCATTCTCCCTCTTTCCATCACCCCCCCCCATTCTCCCGCTTTCCATCACCCCGCCCCATTCTCCCGCTTTCCATCACCCCGCCCCATTCTCCCGCTTTCCATCACCCCGTCCCATTATCCCTCTTTCCATCATCCCGCCCCATTCTCCCGCTTTCCATCACCCCGCCCCATTCTTCCTCTTTCCATCTCCCCGCCCCATTCTCCCTCTTTCCATCACCCCGCCCCATTCTCCCTCTTTCCATCACCCCGCCCCATTCTCCCTCTTTCCATCACCCCGCCCCGTTCTCCCTCTTTCCATCACCCCGCCCCATTCTCCCTCTTTCCATCACCCCGCCCCATTCTCCCGATTTCCGTCACCCCGCCCCATTCTCCCTCTTTCCATCACCCCGCCCCATTCTCCCTCTTTCCATCACCCCGACCCATTCTCCCGCTTTGCATCACCCCGCCCCATTCTCCCTCTTTCCATCACCCCGCCCCATTCTCCTGCCTTCCATCACCCCGCCCCATTCTCCCGCTTTCCATCACCCCGCCCCATTCTACCGCTTTCCATCACCCCGTCCCATTATCCCGCTTTCCATCACCCCGCCCCATTCTCCCGCTTTCCATCTCCCCGTCCCATTATCCCTCTTTCCATCACCCCGCCCCATTCTCCCGCTTTCCATCACCCCGCCCCATTCTTCCTCTTACCATCTCCCCGCCCCATTCTCCCTCTTTCCATCACCCCGCCCCATTCTCCCTCTTTCCATCACCCCGCCCCATTCTCCCTCTTTCCATACCCCCGCCCCGTTCTCCCTCTTTCCATCACCCCGCCCCATTCTCCCTCTTTCCATCACCCCGCCCCATTCTCCCGATTTCCGTCACCCCGCCCCATTCTCCCTCTTTCCATCACCCCGCCCCATTCTCCCTCTTTCCATCACCCCGACCCATTCTCCCGCTTTCCATCACCCCGCCCCATTCTCCCTCTTTCCATCACCCCGCCCCATTCTCCTGCCTTCCATCACCCCGCCCCATTCTCCCGCTTTCCATCACCCCGCCCCATTCTACCGCTTTCCATCACCCCGCCCCATTCTCCCGCTTTCCATCACCCCACCCCATTCTTCCTCTTTTCATCTCCCCACCCCATTCTCCCTCTTTCCATCACCCCGCCCCATTCTCCCTCTTTCCATCACCCCGCCCCATTCTCCCTCTTTCCATCACCCCGCCCCATTCTCCCGATTTCCGTCACCCCGCCCCATTCTCCCTCTTTCCATAACCCCGCCCCATTCTCCCGATTTCCATCACCCCGCCCCATTCTCACGCTTTCCATCACCCCGCCCCATTCTCCCTCTTTCCATCACCCGCCCCATTCTCCCGCTTTCCATCACCCCGCCCCATTCTCCCTCTATCCATCACCCCGCCCAATTCTCCCACTTTCCATCACCCCGTCCCATTCTCCCGTTTTCCATCACCCCGCCCCATTCTCTCGCTTTCCATCACCCCGCCTTATTCTCCCGCTTTCCATCACCCCGCCCCATTCTCCCGATTTCCATCACCCCGCCCCATTCTCCCACTTTCCATCACCTCGCCCCATTCTCCCGCTTTCCATCACCCCGCCCCATTCTCCCGCTTTCGAACACCTCGCCCCATTCTCCCGCTTTCCATCACCCCGCCCCATTCTCACTCTTTCCATCACCCCGCCCCATTCTCCCTCTTTCCATCACCCCGCCCCATTCTCCCGCTTTCCATCACCTCGCCCCATTCTCCCTCTTTCCATAACCACGCCCCATTCTCCCGCTTTCCATCACCCCGCCCCATTCTTCCTCTTTCCATCACCCCGCCCCATTCTCCCTCTTTCCATCACCCCGCCCCATTCTCCCGCTTTCCATCACCCCGCCCCATTCTCCCTCTTTCCATAACCCCGCCCCATTCTCCCGCTTTCCATCACCCCGCCCCATTCTCCCTCTTTCCATCACCCCGCCCCGTTCTCCCGCTTTCCATCACCCCGCCCCATTCTCCCGCTTTCCATCACCCCGCCCCATTCTCCCGCTTTCCATCACCCCACCTTATTCTCCCTCTTTCCATCACCCCGCCCCATTCTCCCGCTTTCCATCACCCCGCCCCATTCTACCGCATTCCATCATCCCGCTCCATTGTCCCGCTTTCCATCACCCCGCCCAATTCTCCCTCTTTCCATCACCCCTCCGCATTCTCCCTTTTTCCATAACCCCGCCCCATTCTCCCGCTTTCCATCACCCCGCCCCATTCTCCCGCTTTCCATCACCCCGCCCCATTCTCCCTCTTTCCATCACCCCGCCCCATTCTCCCTCTTTCCATCACCCCGCCCCATTCTCCCACTTTCCATCATCCCGCCCCATTCTCCCTCTTTCCATAACCCTGCCCCATTCTCCCGCTTTCCATCACCCCGCCCCATTCTCCCTCTTTCCATCACCCCGCCCCGTTCTCCCGCTTTCCATCACCCCGCCCCATTCTCCCGCTTTCCATCACCCCGCCCCATTCTCCTGCTTTCCATCACCCCGCCCCATTCTCCCTCTTTCCATCACCCCGCCCCATTCTCCCGCTTTCCATCACCCCGCCCCATTCTCCCGCTTTCCATCACCTCGGCCCATTCTCCTGCTTTCCATCACCCCGTCCCATTCTTCCTCTTTCCATCACCCCGCCCCATTCTCCCGCTTTCCATCACCCCGCCCCATTCTTCCTCTTTCCATCTCCCCGCCCCATTCTCCCTCTTTCCATCACCCCGCCCCATTCTCCCTCTTTCCATCACCCCGCCCCATTCTCCCTCTTTCCATCACCCCGCCCCATTCTCCCGATTTCCGTCACCCCGCCCCATTCTTCCTCTTTCCATCACCCCGCCCCATTCTTCCTCTTTCCATCTCCCCGCCCCATTCTCCCTCTTTCCATCACCCCGCCCCATTCTCTCTCTTTCCATCACCCCGCCCCATTCTCCCTCTTTCCATCACCCCGCCCCATTCTCCTGATTTCCGTCACCCCGCCCCATTCTCCCTCTTACCATCACCCCACCCCATTCTCCCGATTTCCGTCATCCTGCCCCATTCTCCCTCTTTCCATCACCCCGCCCCATTCTCCTTCTTTCCATCACCCCGACACATTCTCCCGCTTTCCATCACCCCGCCCCATTCTTCCTCTTTCCATCTCCCCGCCCCATTCTCCCTCTTTCCGTCACCCCGCCCCATTCTCCCTCTTTCCATCACCCCGCCCCATTCTCCCTCATTCCATCACCCCGCCCCATTCTCCCGATTTCCGTCACCCCGCCCCATTCTCCCTCTTTCCATCACCCCGCCCCATTCTCCCTCTTTCCATCACCCCGACCCATTCTCCCGCTTTCCATCACCCCGCCCCATTCTCCCTCTTTCCATCACCCCGCCCCAATCTCCCGCCTTCCATCACCCCGCCCCATTCTCCCTTTTCCCATCACCCCGCCCCATTCTCACGTTTTCCATCACCCCGCCGCATTCTCCCTCTTTCCATCACCCCGCCCCATTCTCCCGCTTTCCATCACCCCGCCCCATTCTCCCTCTATCCATCACCCCGCCCCATTCTCCCACTTTCCATCACCCCGTCCCATTCTCTCGCTTTCCATCACCCCGCCTTATTCTCCCGCTTTCCATCACCCCGCCCCATTCTCCCAATTTCCATCACCCCGCCCCATTCTCCCGCTTTCCATCACCTCGCCCCATTCTCTCGCTTTCCATCACCCCACCCCATTCTCCCGCTTTCCAACACCCCGCCCCATTCTCCTGCTTTCCATCACCCCGCCCCATTCTCACTCTTTCCATCACCCTGCCCCATTCTCCCTCTTTCGATCACCCCGCCCCATTCTTCCGCTTTCCATCACCCCGCCCCATTCTCCCTCTTTCCATAACCCCGCCCCATTCTCCTGCTTTCCATCACCCCGCCCCAATCTCCCTCTTTCCATCACCCCGCCCCATTCTCCCGCTTTCCATCACCCCGCCCCATTCTCCCGCTTTCCATCACCCCGCCCCATTCTCCCTCTTTCCATCACCCCGCCCCGTTTTCCCGCTTTCCATCACCCCGCCCCATTCTCCCGCTTTCCATCAACCCGCCCCATTCTCCCTCTTTCCTTCACCCCGCCCCGTTCTCCCACTTTCCATCACCCCGCCCCATTCTCCCGCTTTCCATCACCCCGCCCCATTTTTCCCGCTTTCCATCACCCCGCCCTATTCTTCCTCTTTCCATCACCCCGCCCCATTCTCCCGCTTTCCATCACCGCGCCCCATTCTCCCGCTTTCCATCACCCCGCCCCCATTCTCCCGCTTTCCATCACCCCGTCCCATTCTCCCTCTTTCCATCACCCCGCCCCATTCGCCAGCTTTCCATCACCCCGCCCCATTCTTCCTCTTTCCGTCTCCCTGCCCCATTCTCCCTCTTTCCATCACCCCGCCCCATTCTCCCTCTTTCCATCACCCCGCCCCATTCTCCCTCTTTCCATCACCCCGCCCCATTCTCCCGATTTCCGTCACCCCGCCCCATTCTCACGCTTTCCATCACCCCACCCCATTCTCCCTCTTTCCATCACCCCGCCCCATTCTCCCGCTTTCCATCACCCCGCCCCATTCTCTCGCTTTCCATCACCCCGCATTATTCTCCCGCTTTCCCTCACCCCGCCCCATTCTCCCGATTTCCATCACCCCGCCCCATTCTCCGCTTTCCATCACCCGCCCCATTCTCCCGATTTCCATCACCCCGCCCCATTCTCCCGCTTTCCAACACCCTGCCCCATTCTCCCGCTTTCCATCACCCCACCCCATTCTCACTCTTTCCATCACCCCTCCCCATTCTCCCTCTTTCCATCACCCCGCCCCATTCTCCTGCTTTCTATCACCCCGCCCCATTCTCCCTCTTTCCATCACCCCGCCCCATTCTCCCGCCTTCCATCACCCCGCCCTATTCTCCATCTTTCCATCACCCTGCCCAATTCTCCCCCTTTCCATCACCCCGCCCCATTCTCCCGCCTTCCATCACCCCGCCCCATTCTCCCTCTTTCCATCACCCCGCCCCATTCTCCCGCTTTCCATCACCCCGCCCCATTTTCCCGATTTCCATCACCCCGCCCCATTCTCCCGCTTTCCATCACCTTGCCCCATTCTCCCGCTTTCCATCACCCCGCCCCATTCTCCTGCTTTCCATCACCCCGCCCCATTCTCCCGCTTTCCATCACCCAGCCCAATTCTCCCGCTTTCCATCACCCCGCCCCATTCTCCCGCTTTCCATCACCCCGCCCCATTCTCCCTCTTTCCATCACCCCGCCCCATTCTCCCGCATTCCATCACCCCGCACCATTTTCCCTCGTTCCATCACCCCGCTCCATTCTCCCGCTTTCCATCACCCCGCCCAATTCTCCCTCTTTCCATCACCCCTCCCCATTCTCCCTCTTTCCATCACCCCGCCCCATTCTCCCGCTTTCCATCACCCCGCCCCATTCTCCCTCTATCCAGCACCCCGCCCCATTCTCCCTCTTTCCATCACCCCGCCCCATTCTCCCGCTTTCCATCACCCCGCCCCATTCTCCCTCTTTCCATCACCCCGCCCCATTCTCCCGCTTTCCATCACCCCGCCCCATTCTCCCTCTTTCCATCACCCCGCTCCATTCTCCCGCTTTCCATCACCCCGCCCAATTCTCCCTCTTTCCATCACCCCTCCTCATTCTCCCTCTTTCCATCACCCCGCCCCATTCTCCCGCTTTCCACCACCCCGCTCCATTCTCCCGCTTTCCATCACCCCTGCCCCATTCTCCCGCTTTCCATCACCCCACCCCATTCTCACTCTTTCCATCACCCCTCCCCATTCTCCCTCTTTCCATCACCCCGCCCCATTCTCCTGCTTTCTATCACCCCGCCCCATTCTCCCTCTTTCCATCACCCCGCCCCATTCTCCCGCCTTCCATCACCCCGCCCCATTCTCCATCTTTCCATCACCCTGCCCAATTCTCTCCCTTTCCATCACCCCGCCCCATTCTCCCGCCTTCCATCACCCCGCCCCATTCTCCCTCTTTCCATCACCCCGCCCCATTCTCCCGCATTCCATCACCCCGCCCCATTTTCCCGATTTCCATCACCCCGCCCCGTTCTCCCGCTTTCCATCACCCCGCCCCATTCTCCCGCTTTCCATCACCCTGCCCCGTTGTCCCGCTTTCCATCACCCCGCCCCATTCTCCCGCTTTCCATCACCCAGCCCCATTCTCCTGCTTTCCATCACCCCGCCCCATTCTCCCGCTTTCCATCACCCCGCCCCATTCTCCCTCTTTCCATCACCCCGCCCCATTCTCCCGCATTCCATCACCCCGCCCCATTTTCCCTCGTTCCATCACCCCGCTCCATTCTCCCGCTTTCCATCACCCCGCCCAATTCTCCCTCTTTCCATCACCCCTCCCCATTCTCCCCTCTTTCCATCACCCCGCCCCATTCTCCCGCTTTCCATCACCCCGCCCCATTCTCCCGCCTTCCATCACCCCGCCCCATTCTCCCTCTTTCCATCACCCCGCCCCATTCTCCCGCTTTCCATCACCCCGCCCCATTTTCCCGATTTCCATCACCCCGCCCCATTCTCCCGCTTTCCATCACCCCGCCCCATTCTCCCGCTTTCCATCACCCCGCCCCATTCTCCCGCTTTCCATCACCCCGCCCCATTCTCCCGGTTTCCATCACCCAGCCCCATTCTCCCGCTTTCCATCACCCCGCCCCATTCTCCCGCTTTCCATCACCCCGCCCCATTCTCCCTCTTTCCATCACCCCGCCCCATTCTCCCGCATTCCATCACCCCGCCCCATTTTCCCGATTTCCATCACCCCGCCCCATTCTCCCGCTTTCCATCACCCCGCCCCATTCTCCCGCTTTCCATCACCCTGCCCCGTTCTCCCGCTTTCCATCACCCCGCCCCATCCTCCCGCTTTCCATCACCCAGCCCCATTCTCCTGCTTTCCATCACCCCGCCCCATTCTCCCGCTTTCCATCACCCCGCCCCATTCTCCCTCTTTCCATCACCCCGCCCCATTCTCCCGCATTCCATCACCCCGCCCCATTTTCCCTCGTTCCATCACCCCGCTCCATTCTCCCGCTTTCCATCACCCCGCCCAATTCTCCCTCTTTCCATCACCCCTCCCCATTCTCCCTCTTTCCATCACCCCGCCCCATTCTCCCGCTTTCCATCACCCCGCCACATTCTCCCTCTTTCCATCACCCCGCCCCATTCTCCCGCATTCCATCACCCCGCCCCATTTTCCCTCGTTCCATCACCCCGCTCCATTCTCCCGTTTTCCATCACCCCGCCCAATTCTCCCTCTTTCCATCACCCCTCCCCATTCTCCCTCTTTCCATCACCCCGCCCCATTCTCCCGCTTTCCATCACCCCGCCCCATTCTCCCGCCTTCCATCATCCCGCCCCATTCTCCCTCTTTCCATCACCCCGCCCCATTCTCCCGCTTTCCATCACCCCGCCCCATTTTCCCGATTTCCATCACCCCGCCCCATTCTCCCGCTTTCCATCACCCCGCCCCATTCTCCCGCTTTCCATCACCCCGCCCCATTCTCCCGCTTTCCATCACCCCGCCCCATTCTCCCGCTTTCCATCACCCAGCCCCATTCTCCCGCTTTCCATCACCCCGCCCCATTCTCCCGCTTTCCATCACCCCGCCCCATTCTCCCTCTTTCCATCACCCCTCCTCATTCTCCCACTTTCCATCACCCCGCCCCATTCTCCCGCCTTCCATCACCCCGCCCCATTCTCCCTCTTTCCATCACCCCGCCCCATTCTCCCGCTTTCCATCACCCCGCCCAATTCTCCCTCTTTCCATCACCCCTCCCCATTCTCCCTCTTTCCATCACCCCGCCCCATTCTCCCGCTTTCCATCACCCCGCCCCATTCTCCCTCTTTCCATCACCCCGCCCCATTCTCCCTCTTTCCATCAACCCGCCCCATTCTCCCGCTTTCCATCACCCCGCCCCATTCTCCCTCTTTCCATCACCCCGCTCCATCCTCCTGCTTTCCATCACCCCGCCCCATTCTCCCTCTTTCCATCACCCCGCTCCATTCTCCCGCTTTCCATCACCCCGCCCAATTCTCCCTCTTTCCATCACCCCTCCTCATTCTCCCACTTTCCATCACCCCGCCCCATTCTCCCGCTTTCCACCACCCCGCTCCATTCTCCCGCCTTCCATCACCCTGCCCAATTCTCCCGCTTTCCATCACCCCGCCCCTAGAGATAGGTGCCTCTAGAGATTGGTACCCCTAAAGAGACGCGCCCATGGAGATAGGTGCCCATATACATAGGTGCCCCTAGAGATAGGCGCCCCTAGAGATAGGCGCCCATAGAAATAGGCGCCCCTAGAGATAGGCGCCCATAGAGACAGGCGCCCCTAGAGATAGGCGCCCCTAGAGATAGGCGCCCATAGAGATAGGCGCCCAAAGAGATAGGTGCTCATAGAGATAGGCGCCCATAGAGACAGGCGCCCCTAGAGATAGGCGCCCATAGAGATAGGCGCCCAAAGAGATAGGTACCCATAGAGATAGGCGCCCATAGAGATAGGCACCCATAGAGATAGGCGCCCCTAGAGATAGGTGCCTATAGAGATAGGCGCCACTAGAGATAGGCGCCCCTAGAGATAGGCGCCGCTAAAGATAGGCGCCCATAGAGATAGGCGCCCCTAGAGATAGGCGCCCATAGAGATAGGCGCCCATAGAGACAGGCGCCCCTAGAGATAGGCGCCCCTAGAGATAGGCGCCCATAGAGATTGGCGCCCCTAGAGATAGGCGCCCCTAGAGATAGGCGCCCCCAGAGATTGGCGCCCATAGAGATAGGCGCCCCTAGAGATAGGCGCCCCCAGAGATAGGCGCCCCTAGAGATAGGCGCCCATAGAGATAGGCGCCCCTAGAGATAGGCACCCCTAGAGATAGGCGCCCATAGAGATAGGCGCCCAAAGAGATAGGCACCCATAGAGATAGGCGCCCATAGAGATAGGCGCCCATAGAGATAGGCGCGAATAGAGATAGGCGCCCCTAGAGATAGGCGCCCATAGAGAAAGGCGCCACTAGAGATAGGCGCCCCTAGAGATAGGCGCCCATAGAGATAGGCGCCCGTAGAGATAGGCGCCCATAGAGATAGGCGCCCATAGAGATAGGCGCCCATAGAGATAGGCGCCCCTAGAGATAGGCGCCCCTAGAGATAGGCGCCCATAGAGATAGGCGCCCAAAGAGATAGGCGCCCATAGAGATAGGCGCCCCTAGAGATAGGCGCCCATAGAGATAGGCGCCCCTAGAGATAGCCGCCCCTAGAGATAGGCAACCCTAGAGATAGGCGTCCCTAGAGATAGGCGCCCCTGGAGATAGGCGCCACTAGAGATAGGAACCCCTAGAGGTAGGCGCCCCTAGAGATGGGCGCCCATAGAGATAGGCGCCTCTAGAGATTGGCGCCCCTAAAGAGAGGCGCCCATAGAGATAGGCGCCTATAGAGATATGTGCCCCTAGAGATAGGCGCCCCTAGAGATAGACGCCCATAGAGATAGACGCCCCTAGAGATAGGCGCCCATAGAGATTGGCGCCCAAAGAGATAGGCGCCTCTAGAGATTGGCGCCCCTAAAGAGAGGCGCCCATAGAGATAGGCGCACATAGAGATAAGCGCCCCTAGAGATAGGCGCCTATAGAGATAGGCGCCGCTAAAAATAGGCGCCCATAGAGATAGGCGCCCCTAGAGATAGGCGCCCATAGAGATAGGCGCCCATAGAGATAGGCGCCCCTAGAGATAGGCGCCCATAGAGATAGGCGCCCATAGAGATAGGCGCCCCTAGAGATAGGCGCCCATAGAGATAGGCGCCACTAGAGATAGGTGCCCCTAGAGATAGGCGCCCATAGAGATAGGCGCCCGTAGAGATAGGCGCCCATAGAGATAGGCGCCCATAGAGATAGGCGCCCATAAAGATAGGCGCCCCTAGAGATAGGCGCCCATAGAGATAGGCACCCCTAGAGATAGCCGCCCCTAGAGATAGGCACCCCTAGAGATAGGCGCCCCTAGAGATAGGCGCCCCTGGAGATAGGCGCCACTAGAGATAGGTGCCCCTAGAGGTAGGCGCCCCTAGAGATGGGCGCCCATAGAGATAGGCGCTTCTAGAGATTGGCGCCCCTAAAGAGAGGCGCCCATAGAGATAGGCGCCTATAGAGATATGTGCCCCTAGAGATAAGCGCCCCTAGAGATAGACGCCCATAGAGATAGGCGCCCCTAGAGATAGGCGCACATAGAGATAGGCGCCCATAGAGATTGGCGCCCAAAGAGATAGGCGCCTCTAGAGATTGGCGCCCCTAAAGAGAGGCACCCATAGAGATAGGCGCACATAGAGATAAGCGCCCCTAGAGATAGGCGCCGCTAAAGATAGGCGCCCATAGAGATAGGCGCCCCTAGAGATAGGCGCCCATAGAGATAGGCGCCCATAGAGATAGGCGCCCCTAGAGATAGGCGCCCCTAGAGATAGGCGCCCATAGAGATAGGCGCCCAAAGAGATAGGCACTTATAGAGATAGGCGCCCATAGAGATAGGCGCCCATAGAGATAGGCGCCCATAGAGATAGGCGCCCCTAGAGATAGGTGCCCATAGAGATAGGCGCCACTAGAGATAGGCGCCCCTAGAGATAGGCGCCGCTAAAGATAGGCGCCCATAGAGATAGGCGCCCCTAGAGATAGGCGCCCATAGAGATAGGCGCCCACAGAGATAGGCGCCCCTAGAGATAGGCGCCCCTAGAGATAGGCGCCCATAGAGATAGGCGCCCAAAGAGATAGGCACCCAAAGAGATAGGCGCCCATAGAGATAGGCGCCCATAGAGATAGGCGCCCATAGAGATAGGCGCCCCTAGAGATAGGCGCCCATAGAGATAGGCGCCACTAGAGATAGGCGCCCCTAGAGATAGGCGCCCATAGAGATAGGCGCTCGTAGAGATAGGCGCCCATAGAGATATGCGCCCATAGAGATAGGCGCCCATAGAGATAGGCGCCCCTAGAGATAGGCGACCCTAGAGATAGGCGCCCATAGAGATAGGCGCCCAAAGAGATAGGCGCCCATAGAGATAGGCGCCCCTAGAGATAGGCGCCCATAGAGATAGGCGCCCCTAGAGATAGCCGCCCCTAGAGATAGGCATCCCTAGAGATAGGCGCCCCTAGAGATAGGCGCCCCTGGAGATAGGCGCCACTAGAGATAGGTGCCCCTGGAGGTAGGCGCCCCTAGAGATGGGCGCCCATAGAGATAGGCGCCTCTAGAAATTGGCACCCCTAAAGAGAGGCGCCCATAGAGATAGGCGCCTATAGAGATATGTGCCCCTAGAGATAGGCGCCCCTAGAGATAGACGCCCATAGAGATAGGCGCCCCTAGAGATAGGCGCCCATAGAGATAGGCGCCATTAGAGATAGGCGCCCCTAGAGATAGGCGCCCATAGAGATAGGCGCCCGTAGAGATAGGCGCCCATAGAGATAGGCGCCCATAGAGATAGGCGCCCATAGAGATAGGCGCCCCTAGAGATAGGCGCCCATAGAGATAGGCGCCCCTAGAGATAGCCGCCCATAGAGATAGGCACCCCTAGAGATAGGCGCCCCTAGAGATAGGCGCCCCTGGAGATAGGCGCCACTAGAGATAGGTGCCCCTAGAGGTAGGCGCCCCTAGAGATGGGCGCCCATAGAGATAGGCGCCTCTAGAGATTGGCGCCCCTAAAGAGAGGCGCCCATAGAGATAGGCGCCTATAGAGATATGTGCCCCTAGAGATAGGCGCCCCTAGAGATAGACGCCCATAGAGATAGGCGCCCCTAGAGATAGGCGCCCATAGAGATAGGCGCCCATAGAGATAGGCGCCCCTAGAGATAGGCGCACATAGAGATAGGCGCCCATAGAGATTGGCGCCCAAAGAGATAGGCGCCTCTAGAGATTGGCGCCCCTAAAGGGGGGCGCCCATATAGATAGGCGCACATAGAGATAAGCGCCCCTAGAGATAGGCGCCTATAGAGATAGGCGCCGCTAAAGATAGGCGCCCATAGAGATAGGCGCCCCTAGAGATAGGCGCCCATAGAGATAGGCGCCCATAGAGATAGGCGCCCATAGGGATAGGCGCCCCTAGAGATAGGCGCCCATAGAGATAGGCGCCCAAAGAGATTGGCACCCATAGATATAGGCGCCCATAGAGATAGGCGCCCATAGAGATAGGCGCCCATAGAGATAGGCGCCCCTAGAGATAGGTGCCCATAGAGATAGGCGCCACTAGAGATAGGCGCCCCTAGAGATAGGCGCCGCTAAAGATAGGCGCCCATAGAGATAGGCGCCCCTAGAGATAGGCGCCCATAGAGATAGGCGACCATAGAGATAGGCGCCCCTAGAGATAGGCACCCCTAGAGATAGGCGCCCATAGAGATAGGCGCCCAAAGAGATAGGCACCCATAGAGATAGGCGCCCCTAGAGATAGGCGCCGCTAAAGATAGGCGCCCATAGAGATAGGTGCCCCTAGAGATAGGCGCCCATAGAGATAGGCGCCCCTAGAGATAGGCGCCCATAGAGATAGGCGCCCATAGAGATAGGCGCCCCTAGAGATAGGCACCCCTAGAGATAGGCGCCCATAGAGATAGGCGCCCAAAGAGATAGGCACCCATAGAGATAGGCGCCAATAGAGATAGGCGCCCATAGAGATAGGCGCCCCTAGAGATAGGCGCCCATAGAGATAGGCGCCCGTAGAGATAGGCGCCCATAGAGATAGGCGCCCATAGAGATAGGCGCCCCTAGAGATAGGCACCCCTAGAGATAGGCGCCCATAGAGATAGGCGCCCAAAGAGATAGGCACCCATAGAGATAGGCGCCCATAGAGATAGGCGCCCATAGAGATAGGCGCCAATAGAGATTACCGCCCCTAGAGATAGGCGCCCATAGAGAAAGGCGCCACTAGAGATAGGCGCCCATAGAGATAGGCGCCCGTAGAGATAGGCGCCCATAGAGATAGGCGCCCATAGAGATAGGCGCCCATAGAGATAGGCGCCCCTAGAGATAGGCGCCCATAGAGATAGGCGCCCATAGAGATAGGCGCCCAAAGAGATAGGCGCCCATAGAGATAGGCGCCCCTAGAGATAGGCGCCCATAGAGATAGGCGCCCCTAGAGATAGCCGCCCCTAGAGATAGGCAACCCTAGAGATAGGCGCCCCTAGAGATAGGCGCCCCTGGAGATAGGCGCCACTAGAGATAGGTGCCCCTAGAGGTAGGCGCCCCTAGAGATGGGCGCCCATAGAGATAGGCGCCTCTAGAGATTGGCGCCCCTAAAGAGAGGCGCCCATAGAGATAGGCGCCTATTGAGATATGTGCCCCTAGAGATAGGCGCCCCTAGAGATAGACGCCCATAGAGATAGACGCCCCTAGAGATAGGCGCCCATAGAGATAGGCGCCCATAGAGATAGGCGCCCCTAGAGATAGGCGCCCATAGAGATAGGCGCCCATAGAGATTGGCGCCCAAAGAGACAGGCGCCTCTAGAGATTGGCGCCCCTAAAGAGAGGCGCCCATAGAGATAGGCGCACATAGAGATAAGCGCCCCTAGAGATAGGCGCCTATAGAGATAGGCGCCGCTAAAGATAGGCGCCCATAGAGATAGGCGCCACTAGAGATAGGCGCCCATAGAGATAGGCGCCCATAGAGATAGGCGCCCCTAGAGATAGGCGCCCCTAGAGATAGGCGCCCCTGGAGATAGGCGCCACTAGAGATAGGTGCCCCTAGAGGTAGGCGCCCCTAGAGATGGGCGCCCATAGAGATAGGCGCCTCTAGAGATTGGCGCCCCTAAAGAGAGGCGCCCATAGAGATAGGCGCCTATAGAGATATGTGCCCCTAGAGATAGGCGCCCCTAGAGATAGACGCCCATAGAGATCGGCGCCCCTAGAGATAGGCGCCCATAGAGATAGGCGCCCATAGAGATAGGCGCCCCTAGAGATAGGCGCACATAGAGATAGGCGCCCATAGAGATTGGCGCCCAAAGAGATAGGCGCCTCTAGAGATTGGCGCCCCTAAAGAGAGGCGCCCATAGAGATAGGCGCACATAGAGATAAGCGCCCCTAGAGATAGGCGCCTATAGAGATAGGCGCCGCTAAAGATAGGCGCCCATAGAGATAGGCGCCCCTAGATATAGGCGCCCATAGAGATAGGCGCCCATAGAGATAGGCACCCATAGGGATAGGCGCCCCTAGAGATAGGCGCCCATAGAGATAGGCGCCCAAAGAGATTGGCACCCATAGATATAGGCGCCCATAGAGATAGGCGCCCATAGAGATAGGCGCCCATAGAGATAGGCGCCCCTAGAGATAGGTGCCCATAGAGATAGGCGCCACTAGAGATAGGCGCCCCTAGAGATAGGCGCCGCTAAAGATAGGCGCCCATAGAGATAGGCGCCCCTAGAGATAGGCGCCCATAGAGATAGGCGCCCATAGAGATAGGCGCCCCTAGAGATAGGCACCCCTAGAGATAGGCGCCCATAGAGATAGGCGCCCAAAGAGATAGGCACCCATAGAGATAGGCGCCCCTAGAGATAGGCGCCGCTAAAGATAGGCGCCCATAGAGATAGGTGCCCCTAGAGATAGGCGCCCATAGAGATAGGCGCCCCTAGAGATAGGCGCCCATAGAGATAGGCGCCCATAGAGATAGGCGCCCCTAGAGATAGGCACCCCTAGAGATAGGCGCCCATAGAGATAGGCGCCCAAAGAGATAGGCACCCATAGAGATAGGCGCCCATAGAGATAGGCGCCCATAGAGATAGGCGCCCCTAGAGATTGGCGCCCCTAAAGAGAGGCGCCCATAGAGATAGGCGCCTATTGAGATATGTGCCCCTAGAGATAGGCGCCCCTAGAGATAGACGCCCATAGAGATAGACGCCCCTAGAGATAGGCGCGCATAGAGATAGGCGCCCATAGAGATAGGCGCCCCTAGAGATAGGCGCCCATAGAGATAGGCGCCCATAGAGATTGGCGCCCAAAGAGATAGGCGCCTCTAGAGATTGGCGCCCCTAAAGAGAGGCGCCCATAGAGATAGGCGCACATAGAGATAAGCGCCCCTAGAGATAGGCGCCTATAGAGATAGGCGCCGCTAAAGATAGGCGCCCATAGAGATAGGCGCCCCTAGAGATAGGCGCCCATAGAGATAGGCGCCCATAGAGATAGGCGCCCCTAGAGATAGGCGCCCCTAGAGATAGGCGCCCATAGAGATAGGCGCCCAAAGAGATAGGCACCCATAGAGATAGGCGCCCATAGAGATAGGCGCCCATAGAGATAGGCGCCCATAGAGATAGGCGCCCCTAGAGATAGGTGCCTATAGAGATAGGCGCCACTAGAGATAGGCGCCCCTAGAGATAGGCGCCGCTAAAGATAGGCGCCCATAGAGATAGGCGCCCCTAGAGATAGGCGCCCATAGAGATAGGCGCCCATAGAGATAGGCGCCCCTAGAGATAGGCGCCCCTAGAGATAGGCGCCCATAGAGATAGGCGCCCAAAGAGATAGGCACCCATAGAGATAGGCGCCCATAGAGATAGGCGCCCATAGAGATAGGCGCCCATAGAGATAGGCGCCCCTAGAGATAGGCGCCCATAGAGATAGGCGCCCAAAGAGATAGGCACCCATAGGGATAGGCGCCCATAGAGATAGGCGCCCACAGAGATAGGCGCCCAAAGAGATAGGCACCCATAGGGATAGGCGCCCATAGAGATAGGCGCCCATAGAGATAGGCGCACATAGAGATAGGCGCCCCTAGAGATAGGCGCCCATAGAGATAGGCGCCACTAGAGATAGGCGCCTCTAGAGATAGGCGCCCATAGAGATAGGCGCCCAAAGAGATAGGCACCCATAGAGATAGGCGCCCATAGAGATAGGCGCCTATAGAGATAGGCGCCCATAGAGATAGGCGCCCCTAGAGATAGGCGCCCATAGAGATAGGCGCCCCTAGAGATAGCCGCCCCTAGAGATAGGCAACCCTAGAGATAGGCGCCCCTAGAGATAGGCGCCCCTGGAGATAGGCACCCATAGAGATAGGCGCCCATAGAGATAGGCGCCCATAGGGATAGGCGCCCCTAGAGATAGGCGCCCATAGAGATAGGCGCCCAAAGAGATAGGCACCCATAGATATAGGCGCCCATAGAGATAGGCGCCCATAGAGATAGGCGCCCATAGAGATAGGCGCCCCTAGAGATAGGTGCCCATAGAGATAGGCGCTACTAGAGATAGGCGCCCCTAGAGATAGGCGCCGCTAAAGATAGGCGCCCATAGAGATAGGCGCCCCTAGAGATAGGCGCCCATAGAGATAGGCGCCTCTAGAGATTGGCGCCCCTAAAGAGAGGCGCCCATAGAGATAGGCGCACATAGAGATAAGCGCCCCTAGAGATAGGCGCCTATAGAGATAGGCGCCGCTAAAGATAGGCGCCCATAGAGATAGGCGCCCCTAGAGATAGGCGCCCATAGAGATAGGCGCCCATAGAGATAGGCGCCCATAGAGATAGGCGCCCATAGAGATAGGCGCCCATAGAGATAGGCGCCCATAGAGATAGGCGCCCATAGAGATAGGCGCCTATTGAGATATGTGCCCCTAGAGATAGGCGCCCCTAGAGATAGACGTCCATAGAGATAGACGCCCCTAGAGATAGGCGCCCATAGAGATAGGCGCCCATAGAGATAGGCGCCCCTAGAGATAGGCGCCCATAGAGATAGGCGCCCATAGAGATTGGCGCCCAAAGAGATAGGCGCCTCTAGAGATTGGCGCCCCTAAAGAGAGGCGCCCATAGAGATAGGCGCACATAGAGATAAGCGCCCCTAGAGATAGGCGTCTATAGAGATAGGCGCCGCTAAAGATAGGCGCCCATAGAGATAGGCGCCCCTAGAGATAGGCGCCCATAGAGATAGGCGCCCATAGAGATAGGCCCCCCTAGAGATAGGCGCCCCTAGAGATAGGCGCCCATAGAGATAGGCGCCCAAAGAGATAGGCACCCATAGATATAGGCGCCCATAGAGATAGGCGCCCATAGAGATAGGCGCCCATAGAGATAGGCGCCCCTAGAGATAGGTGCCCATAGAGATAGGCGCCACTAGAGATAGGTGCCCCTAGAGATAGGCGCCGCTAAAGATAGGCGCCCATAGAGATAGGCACCCCTAGAGATAGGCGCCCATAGAGATAGGCTCCTCTAGAGATTGGCGCCCCTAAAGAGAGGCGCCCATAGAGATAGGCGCACATAGAGATAAGCGCCCCTAGAGATAGGCGCCTATAGAGATAGGCGCCGCTAAAGATAGGCGCCCATAGAGATAGGCGCCCCTAGAGATAGGCGCCCATAGAGATAGGCGCCCATAGGGATAGGCGCCCATAGGGATAGGCGCCCCTAGAGATAGGCGCCCATAGAGATAGGCGCCCAAAGAGATAGGCACCCATAGAGATAGGCGCCCATAGAGATAGGCGCCCATAGAGATAGGCGCCCATAGAGATAGGCGCCCCTAGAGATCGGTGCCTATAGAGATAGGCGCCACTAGAGATAGGCGCCCCTACAGATAGGCGCCGCTAAAGATAGGCGCCCATAGAGATAGGCGCCCCTAGAGATAGGCGCCCATAGAGATAGGCGCCCATAGAGATAGGCGCCCCTAGAGATAGGCGCCCCTAGAGATAGGCGCCCATAGAGATAGGCGCCCAAAGAGATAGGCACCCATAGATATAGGCGCCCATAGAGATAGGCGCCCATAGAGATAGGCGCCCATAGAGATAGGCGCCCCTAGAGATAGGTGCCCATAGAGATAGGCGCCACTAGAGATAGGCGCCCCTAGAGATAGGCGCCGCTAAAGATAGGCGCCCATAGAGATAGGCGCCCCTAGAGATAG